AACTTTTCTGTACTCATAGCTGCTGGTTTTGGGGAAAAGAAAAATAAACCGACACATTAGTGTCAAAATGGGTTTCACAAATCTTTGAAGATAGAAAGAATCCTGCAAGGGTTCTAGCCAGAACAGCTGAAGCTTAGGCTACTTTTGATTATTTATTTTGGTGTGAATAGTTTTGAAGACGAGCACATTTCTACTATTCTGAATGATGTACTCATACAACCTCAGTAAATGAGATCCCAGGAAAGCCTGATGCATAGAATAAACACAGAACTGGTTTATATGAGGATCAACACCCCACCACAGCTTCCTTGCTTTCACTTTAAAATGAAACATTGTCTACTTTTTTTGATATGCTTTTACATTTATTTATTTATTTATTGCTAATTATAAACACAGACAATAACTTAAGGATCACAATACTTTCATAAACATACCTTTGAGGGGTATTTTTGTAATGAGATAATTTTTCTGTTATGTAGTAGGTATGGAGACATGACTAGCCAGGGTACATAGGCTGGTTTAGGTAGTAGACAGGAAAATACTTCACTTTCTATGGTCTGGCAGCTAGAATAGCTCTATTCATATGAGTTAAGCATATGCATAATTTGATACCTTGAACAGTTTTAAAATACAGTGTTATACAAGAAACATCAAATCAAATACTAGATAAAATACAGTCATAGGGGATCTCACTAACTCCTTCCTTTCAAGCTATCTTTCAGACCATTATGGAAAGCTCACTCAGAAATGTGTGCCCTTTAAGAAATCTCAAACAATGCCACTTTTTAATGTATAAATTTCAATAACTTCTAATGTAGCCTGGAGAATTAGAACAATTGCACAGCTACACACACATTTACCAAACCCAGAAAATGCTGCAGGTCTGTCTTCTCTAGGAAGCATCTTCAGTAACCCTCGCAGACACACCTGACAAGCATTTCTGCATGAAGGAATGGAGAAACAACGATGTCTTTAGGGCACAGCCTTCCTATTAAATACCTGGAGAACTCAGCAGCTACAGTGATACCTAGAAAAGCCAAGTTGTGCTTTGCTGGTGCAGTGCTGTGCATCGTAACAATTTCATTCATATCCCCTTTTAAAATGAATGATCTGTGAAGACAGAATATTTTACTTTAGGTAGTACATCTTGTACTACATGGAGGTTTGCAAAAGTAAAAGCCTAGGAGTTGTACTTAGGAATCACTAGTGAACTGCAGATCTTTATATTAATTTTGAATAATGTCCTAAGAATGTCAGAAGTACCACTTTTGTATCTCACCTGATGAGAACTGGCTTATGTTTCCTCGTGGTGGGGGGTGTGATAAAAAAGACACACTACTTTCCAATATTCAGAGGAGTTTCTGTATTTCACTGCTGAATTAAAGGCTTTTTTTTATTTATTACAGAAATACCTGGTAAGATCAAGTAACAGAAAAATGTAGTATGTTAAAATAACAATTAAAAAATTAAAGCAATAGTTGTGAATCTGTGAGAAAAGTATAAACATAAACTGGAAAAAATACCACAGACAATCATTCAATATTAAAATAGATATATTTCTTTTTATTGTGCCCTTGAAATACAAAATTTCTTTAAGATGTTAGATTACTAAAATAATGAATTTTCTATTTTCTTGCTCAGGAGTACCTTAGTTGATCTAGGAGCTTGAACAATGGATATTAACTGTTAAAGTAGAACCTTGTTCATCTATATACAAGTTGTGAGTTTGCAAAATTAAGAGCACTTCACAATCTCTTGAATGACCATTCAATAATGACAAAATAAAAGATTATGTAAAATTCTACAAGAAAAATTCACAGACCAGTAATTATTCATAAAAATAGCAATGCCAAAAATAGTGACATGCAGCTGGCTTAAAAGCATAAAGAACAACTCTTACATGGTTTTATATAATTAATTAGGACATATTGACAGACATGAAAATCTAATTTGCAAACAGGTACAGATATACTAGATGGTTTCAAATAACGGAACATTTTAAAAAGTTTACAATAGCATCTAGCAGTACTAAGTGCCAGCATGAAAATGGAGAACATTCGATCTGTAAATGAAAATAAGAAGAATAATTTAAAAACTATGTTTTAGCATTCACATTAGTTCATGATAAATTAACTTTCTTCTTGGGTGTTATAAAGGGCCAGACTGACTTAATTAACCTATTTTTTTTAATGAGAAAAAAGGTGCTTATATATTTTTTAATAGCAGAAGATAGTATTGATACAGCCATAGACACCAACAACTCTCAGTCAGTGAGTAGTTGGTAGTGACCAGCCGAGTCACATGTCAGACTGATGGGTGAGTGCACCAATTCCTCAGGGAACAGCAGAGGAATTCAGGGGTACCCATGTGCTCCTCCTGCCTGATCCTGCACTGCCAGGGCTGTGGATGCCCCCAGAAGGCACGGCTGGGCTGGCAGGGCAGAACCCCCTGCTGAAGTGGAGAGGTGGGAGAGGGAAGCCCAGGTCTGCCTCCTCCCACCCTGCCCTGCAGCCCCACTGAACACTGGCAAAGGGCGCTGCTCTTTCTGCCTAGATGGCTTTGCCTCTTCGTGCTCCAGTGACACACACTCAGAGCTGCACAGTCCTGGGTCCTGCAGCCAAGGAGGTCATCAAAAAGGGTCTTGTACCCTATGCAATGAAACGTGCTCTTCTTGGCACAGCACCCTGCAGCTAACTTGGCTCCAGCTGGGACTTTTGGGGATGCTACTCCCTGTTGTGCTGTCTCAGCTTATTGACCAGGAATACCAACACCGTGGGCCTTTCAGTCCTGCTCCATGGAGACTGAGTCACTCTGGTCAGACCAGCTGCTGCCTCTCAGTGTCTCCTCCTCAGTGGCTGAATACATGGACCAGCAGGGCTTAACCTCCCTGTCCAGCTCCAGCTCTCACGGCTTTGCATGGGGTGAGGCTTTCTTCCTCAGCAGCTGAGGTGTGCCAAGGTAGTGATGCATTGCTTACCAGCCAAACCAATCTACCAGGAGCCTGGGTTACCAGGGACACAATTCCAGGCCAGGCTGGGCAGACCCTGCCTTGCATTTGATTATTTTGGTTCTTGAGCAAAAAGAGCAAGCATTTTTTAACCCAGCAGAATGCTGGTCTCTTGTGTGGTGCTCTCTAACTCTGATGCAAGGTCTCCAAGCAGCTTCATAGAGGTTTCATCCAGCTCCTAGAAAAGACTCTGACCCTTTTCTCTCTTTTTTTTTTTTAAATGGAGCATACCATACAGATCTAATTTGCTGCTTTGGAGACAATCTAGTTCTTCTTTTAATTTCAGAATAGATACCATACAAATTGATCAGCAATTAATCTGAAACTACTAATTATTTGCATGTACTTTTGGCACAGTACTATTATGCCCTATCAAATTATTCAGCAGCCAGTGATACTCTAATTCAAAATCCTAAAAATAGAATACAATTATAAAAAAGAGGCTTCTGTTTAAAACAAATACCCACTGGTTTTTTTGCAGTTGCTTCAGGTTTGTTTTAAAGTTGGATGCCAAAGAAGGATTCATCATAATTGTAGCATGAGACATTTTACAGCTTACATATAAGCAATAATGGAATACAATCAACAGTGTAATGATATCAACATTCCCTCTCGCAATAAACCAGGCTCTAATGTCCAAAGTGGATTGTGAGCTACAGCTGAGTACAGAATAGCTTCTACAGAGTAACCACAGGAGTAAGTAACCTGAGTACAAGAATGTCTCCATAAAAACCAATTTTACTTTGTGGCACAAAACAATAATCAGCTTTTGCTGTTGATTAAATGTGGAAGTAAAGTTAAAGCATTTAATCAACTGCAAAGTCCATTTAATGTAAGTGTACTCCTAATTTGTAGACATTATTGATACTATATATGAAGAGAAAATGTTTATACGATATATCTCAAAAAACCACTATTTCATTCATGGAGGACTTGGAATGTGGCTATACCAACCTTAGAAAGTCTTTCTACTGATGATGACACTTATTTAGGGTATGTGCTTTACACAAATAACTGAACAGGCTTCTACAAAAATAACAATAAGTAATTCTTAGTATGTAGGTAGTAGTTTACATCCATAGGCCATCAAGTGCTATATAGATTAGAATTTCTGATTTTGAAAGACTTACTCTGCCACATCCCAAAGAGAGTTGTTTTTTTAGGAAGACAAGGCAAGGCCCACAGATGTGGCTGTTCTGCCATTACAATTATCATCTTGGCAAACTGAGACTGGACAGCCACGGGAATCCTCATCAATCTCTGAAGTGATGGCTGGGAAGAGAGACAGGGTCTAAACTCTCAGATTTTGTGCACTAGGAAATTAATTTTCCAAACAAGAGCTGGGCACCCAGTGAAGCAGGTTGGGCAGCCAGTATAAACTTCTGTGGCTGCCCAGGGTTTTCACTTGCTCAAATTTTGGCCCTAGGGAAGAGTCTGTTTTCCAGTTTGCAGATGGACAGGTCTGTTTCCAAACACAGGTCACACTACTCTGCCTAACAACTTAGGCAAGGTAAAACAATGTTAAAAAGCATTTTTAGATACCAGAATTGCCCTTGAAACTGTCTTTCTCTTTTGCCTTTTTGGAGAAATGAACAAACATAAGAAACGGCCAAAACAAATGCATGAACATGTTACTAAGAAACAGTGAGAGAAAGAGAAGCTAATTTTCGAGGTGAAAATTTCAAATGGGCTTCTATATTTTCTCCCTGAAGAACATGCTTTTTTGGGGGGGCTCAAGAGCCAAAATAGATAATTTAGGCTTGATCAAGAGCCTATTAAAATCAACAGAACTTCTCTTCTGATGTTAAAATGATTGCAGGAAAGAAATCACATGTTTTATTAAATTTTTAAACTGCACCAAAAAAAAAAAAAAAAAGAAAAGGAAAAGGAGCAAGAAAGCAAAGCATTCACCATCAGTACATAAACCTGAAGTTAGAAAAGTGTTGTCAGTAAGACATTCTTGCAAATCATCCTGCACCACCCCACACAACTTCCATCACATCTCCCAAATAAAGGGCTCAAGGCCATGAAAGAAATAAAGTAACTGTAAAGTTAGGATAATAATCACAAGAAGCTCTCCCTTTCTTGCTGTTATGCTTCTATAAGCAGATGCTGATATTCATGTAAGTGGCCTGGATTCATCCTCCCTGTAAATCCTGCTCATCTCACAACCAAGAGTATGGGGATGCACCTTGTAGAGATGCTGGGCTATTTACTTGGCCAGACTCTGGTAACATCACCTCACTTCTCACAACTCAAGCAGGACAAATTGAGGCTGCATGTCCCTGCATCTGGTCTTTACCTCCAGCGCAACAGCTTTTCTCCTTAGAAACAAAGAGGAAGGAGGTAAAAGCAAAGAGGGAAAAGCAAACGTGTCCAAAAATATAAAGCTGAGTGATGAAACAGAGCAAACATGGAGATTAGTGGAAGGCATCTAGGCAGCTGCTCAATTTCTTTAGGACCTTAGTTTGTAACGAAAGGCAATATCAACGTCTGGCAGGAGGATACCAAGGCCCATGCGACTGTTATCAAGTCTGACAGCTTTGTTTTCTGCTAGTTCTACATCAAAATGAGACAATAGTATGAAAAGAAACATCTTCATCTCATTCATTGCGAGGAACCTCCCTGGACACATGCTAATCCCAGAGCCAAAGGGCATTAGGAAATACTTCAGTTTTCTTCCTGCCTTGTAGAATGTGGTTTTCTTCTTGCCATTCTCTATGTATCGATCGAACTTATACTCCTGAAAATGAAAGAGAAAGAGAGAGACAGCGTGATATCTAACAAGGCAGTTACATGAGCTGCTTTCTTTGCAAAATGGTAACGCGTCTGAAACCCAGAAAATAAGATAAAGAGGAAGACAAGGAGCTGACAGCTTCTTCTTTTTAGTTGGTTCCCTCAAGTTTCATTAACTCACATTACCTTCCCTGCAAAGAGCACTCTTTAAATCCACTTATTTAGCTTAGTCCTTTTACATCAAGCTCCTTCAACTTCCTCATCTCATCCACTGAGTGTCTGGCCTATATTGATTGTAATTAGATTTTGACCGCTTTGTAGCAGGGACAATGAACCTTCGTGGAAGGACAATTTTCTTGTAAAGCATCATACACACTCAGTGTGGTACATACATCATGAATAAGGATAATCTGCAAAATTCTGAAAATGCCTATGAATAAATTAATGCACTGCACCAATTTTGCTCTTGCAAGCCAGAGCAAAATCCATCCTTCTTTTGCACTGAATGGTGCAGATTATTCGAAAACTCCAGCACTTTGCAGTCAGTTTTCTTTTCAGTTGGAGATGGTTGCTGCTTAATTTTTCACATTTTACCTTCAAATATTTTGCTGCAGAAGCTGTGAGCAAGGCAGCACAATGCCAGTGACTGACCATTACAAAGAGGGTGTTTTCAAGTAAGGCTTGAGGTCACACTTGTAACCTACATTCCATAAATTGAACATATTTCTGACTATTTTTGAGTAGCAGGATCCCTGTTTAGAGATAATTTGTGTTTTTGAATGAAGGAGATCTGGCATCCTCACTCAGTCAATGGCAAATTAACCACTTACAAAACCCTCCTGCATGCTTTGAATAAAAATGACAGGCACTTCTTGCTTATGGTCACTCATTAGCATTTGTCCTGCTTTGCATACATCTGCTATAGCAGCAGCCATTTGGAGCTGGCTGGGAACAAGTCAGTCAGACAGAAACCGACCTCAACTGATTAAAAAACCCCACACCACCATTAAAAATACACTGATACTGATCTACCCATTAGATTAAAGGCTCTGAAAATCATGCAGTCGAGGTCTTGCTGTTGAGAAACAAATGTCGGGAGGTGGTGAGTGAGGGAACGAATACTAGGCACACTGGAGGGGATGTAACTTTGGGTGCTGAAGAGCAAGAGCTTATTTCACTAAATGACAGAGGCCTGGATTTTCCACAAATAAAAAGGCGATTCTATGTCTGCTTCCACTGACAGGTAATTCTTTTCAGTCTCTTTGAACATCCCAGCCAAAAGGAAGCAAGCCTTTTTTTTTTTTTTCTGCCAGGAAGTTATTGCTTCATTTGGAGCAGCACAGTAACAAAAATGAGAGCCCAGCATATCATAAGATTTACTTCCTGAATTCTAAATCCTGCTGGTCTAAAAAAGCACTGCTAAATATGAACTGCAATAGCTTAAAAACCCAACCCAGAGCTTTTCTCAAATGTTTTTACAAGGTGCACTTCTGGTATCTGGAGGAATTAAGCACTGTGTTATTGAACGCACAGACACACTGGGTCAAACTTTATGCTTTCTTTGTCATATTAAGAGCATTCTGAGACTTGCAATTGCTTTTAACAAAAAATAAATTGCTGTCTAAGGAACAGGGGAAACAGAAAACAAGTGTGAGACAGGAATGTAGCCAATGACAGTGACATCAAACTCAGGGCTGCTGAAGTCCCTTGGGTTGAGTGGTGTTTCCTTAAAAGCTGGTTCACTGACTAATAAAGACCAATTTTTAAAAATGAAGGAATTTTCAGCCATGCACAAGGTCTCCTGAAAGAGACATGGTGGCTGACAACAAGGAAAAGGTGAGGACACTGAGCAAAAGCAGGCAATGAAGTTCCGTGTGGATGAGCTGCTACAAATATTATGAAAACTGAGCAATCTCCTGTGATTGATCTAAGTCTCCTTCTGTCACATACTGTATTTAGCTTTGTTTGGGAAGTCACCATAGAGGGTTTCCTGCAGGGTTTCCTGATTCTTACTCTATGGGTTTTGCAGAGTTCATTTACTGAGCTCTATAACTAGCTGAGATAGAATTTAGGGTTTCACTTGTACATTTTATAGAAAACTGACTAATTTATTTAGGCCTTAATGGGTGGAGAAAGAGGTCAGAAATATATGCTTACACACTTACACAATATGGTGCCAAAGCACAAGATAGCTTGAACTTAAATTTATGTATCCAGGGGAAAAAGCATTGCTACAAAATTATCTCATCAAGCTGCCTGTTTTCCCAGGAAAAGTTTTCCCTAAATACATGACAAGCTCAAGACTGCACCTTTCAAAAAATTCATTCTCCATCTCTATCTGATCCTCAGTAGTTATTGTTGAAAGCACACTGCATATTTTAAGAACCAAACAGAACAGTGATTTCCCCACTTTTCGAGAGGGGCCCATGTGCTGAAATCAATGTACTGCAATGTGTGGATTGCTCATTCACTATCAAAAAGATAAAATATATGAACTAAAGCTGTACTGTGAAAGCTGAGCAGAGCTGATACTAAGCAGATATATTCAAGCAATGGAAATATGGTAATATATTCTGGCAATTATTGGATAAGGGAGGAGATCAGTTTCCACACTGATGCTTTTGGTCTAGGACCTAAACAAACAGATGGACTTTTGACAAATCAATAACGTTCTCCAAAATAAAGTGTTAAGGATAAAATAAAAAAAAAAGAAGCGTATTTGTTAGCTGTTATCTATCCTTTTTAAGGATAAAAATATTAATCAACTATTTGCCAATAGATGAATTATTTTTAAAACCCTGATTTTCTCTGCAGGCTTTATCTTCATTTTTGGGTGGGGACAGCCAGCAGAGCTCCCCTGAATGTAATTTTCATTCTCGTGGCTCCAGTGTTCAACCCAATGACTATACCTTACTCCTGCTGACTCCAACATGCTCCACACCTCCTCTCACTGAGGCTGGCAGAGCTCCTACACAACGAAATGCTGTCCTGCACCAACGAGGCACTTGAATCTCGTCTTTTCTTTGCAAGCTCTCATCTTTAAATTCCTGAAAGGGAGAGCTTCGTGGAGCAACGTCTCTAACACGGGCTTTCTATAAACATGTAAAAAATCCAGTTCCTTTCTTCTTTGGCTCAAATGCCAAGGATGGAAATCAGCATGGCTGGGAGACAGCCATTTGCTTAGCAAAACAGGGGTGAGGAATGGATGAGGTACAAGCTCTTGACTCTCAGGCAGACGAGCCATTTAACAGCCTCAGCGTGCACCCTTGCTCTTTCTTGCTCTTCCTCTGTGGCACCCTGGGCTGGGGACAGCAATCTGGGGAGCAACCTAGCCCAGAGGAGTACTATTCAATTTGCATGCAGGTGGTGAACTTCTGAAGCTGTATTACAGCTGAGGCAGGGTGGATTAATTTTGAGTCTTTGATATTCATTAACTTGAGCGTCAGAGAAAAATACAAGGAGATGACACAATTACCCTCCGAGCTTCGCTGCAGAGCAACAGCTTTACAGTCTCAAGTTCACAACACTCTAATTGATCAAGAAGGGGTGAATCCCTACGAAGGGAGATGAAAAAGCATAAGGCTCAAGTAAGACACTGCTATTATAGGGCTTCAGAGAGTCAATGATGCTTTGCGGGCACTTAGCTAAATGGCCCACATTATTTGCTATTTAAACCACCTTCTATTATTCAGCCCTCCTTGGGTATCAAATGATCCACTGCCAAACAAAGCCCACATTTAGCCTAAAGTTTATGGTAGTCAATGTGCAATTGTCAATTCCTTTGAAAGCAGTCGCAGTCAGTCTCATCACCATATTTCTCTCTTCAGGCCATGTATCCTTTGACCTGCAGGGCCCTAGAAAATACATCTGAAACTAGGAAGATTTGTTCCACAAGAAGGAACAGCAGTGAAAAAAAGAAAACCAAACCAAAACAAAACAAAAAAACCAACCGCAGATCACAAAAGGCTTGGCTGCTTCGATGTGCCTGGAGTAGGAAGAGTAGCACCAGCTGAATGTTACCTTAGGATCTTCATAGACCTCAGGGTCCATGTGCAAAATCTGCGGGTAAAGGGCTATCCAGTCTCCTTTCCTCAAAACGACTTCTTGATTCCCTTCAAGCTTGAGAACAAAATCCTCTTGGCTGATGCGGATGTTCATAGAGGACGAGCACATTCTTAAACTCTCGTTTAAGGCACTCTCTGCGATTAAACAAAAGGGGGGAGGGGGGAAGCATCAGAAATATGGGAGATGACTGGAAGTTATACATGGCTACGGCTGCTGATTCTCCAGGAGTTTAGTAGGGCAGGCTAAAGGGGAAAAAAAAAAGGGAAAAAACCACACAAGCAAAACCAAACATAAAGCAGAGACCAGGAGGAGGCAATGCGCAAGCCCGCAGGGTTGGGCTGGGGCAGTCAGGGATGCTGAACCTCCCGAAGTGATTCTCCCTGATGGTGATGAGAAATACTGACGGTTGTAAGCAGCACCAGGTTTTGGGTGGAAAGTCATTATTCAGGCATCGTGTTGAAAACAACGCAATCAAAAGACATGAACGCTTTATGCATTTACATATATTTTGGTGGCTGCAAACAAGTGCCAGCGAAAGTATCCATGGAGCTGTTTAGCTTGCTTTTTGAAAGTTGTTGGATTTAATGGTAGGACTATACATTAGAAATCATTCTGCTTGTTAATTCTGTAGTCATTCTGAGAATTTTTAAATGCATTTTCTTTTCAATGCACTATGCTGCCAAATTATAGTGTCTGTTGTGGTCAGAGTGAATGAAAGCAATTCATTATTTGCCTAGTAATTTTAAGAGAGAAAGACACTTCTAATTGGCCTAGAGGAAACAAAACATAGTCCTTTCAGGTTTGGGGAAAGCAAGATTTCTGTCTCCAGCATCACATCCTGGAAGGCTCCAGAAGCTGAATGTCCTTGCTTTCCCAGTGGCCTTCACCTTTTGCTCCTAGCACGACAGATTTTATGGCTAATTTCCGGCAATTTATCCTGGCAGTTTGAGGAGGAATTCCTTTGGGAATAATATGCATAATTTGCATAAATCATTCTGATAGCATGTATATCAGCATGTAGCTCCTGTCTAGGGCTGCATCTCTCACTTTGTAATCAAAACTGACTATTTTTCCACCAGTGTGTATGGGCACTGTTATATGTGACTTGATTCCTTCTAATCATTAGTGTGAAAAATAGCCTAAAATAGGGTTTCATTTGCATGTAATAATCCATTTGTGTCTGCCTTTATGTTTTGTGATATCAAATAAGCCTTCTCTAAGTGTTCACCAAGGCACTGCAATTGCTGCACCCAAAAGGTTAGTTTATTAGAGACAGTAGCTACCCAGTGTAGATGTTTCTGAAAAAAATAATAACAAACGTTCTTTCACTAGAAATTAAATCTGGTGCAGCATGCATAGCAAATAAAGTGGCCCTGGATGCTTTCTTGCAGGAGGTTTTTCCTTAAGCATGCATTTGTCTAAAGAAATGAGGCTGCGGTCAGCTTTGTGTGGCCAGTGCCGTGATTCAATGTGACGTACAGTGAGTCTGTGCATATTCTTTTGGACTGCCTTCGTTACTATAATCAGGCAGAGTCAAATCGGCTTGTTGGTGACGAAGCCAGAAAAGAACCCTGGTTCCAGAAGATGGCCTCTACTGCGGATAGCCACAAGGCACCTGACACGATAGATTTCAACTGGCAGCGCTCTGGCAACAAAACTTTACGCGGTACAAAGGAAGGGTCCAGCCTCGGCTCCAGACTGCCTTCAACCTGCAGAAAATGAAACTGGTAGCTTTGTACCAGTCCACCATTTGGAAATGGTGGTGACATACGTGGAGACAGCAGAAATCAAACAAGGAAGAGAAAAGGAGGGGGAAAAAAAAAAAGAGAGAAAAATTATAAAGTGTCACGGCAAAATAGCAGCACGTTTAACCACCCAAGCAATGCGGTCACATCCTATCGGCGGATATCCTCCCAGAAAGCGCGGCAGTCCCTGCCCGCTGCCGGATCTCAAATGACAATTGGGCAGCATATCTTATGCAGAAGTTAATCACAATAATGGAGCACAAAGTGTGGCTTAGCGGTCAGATCGTAAATGACAAATCTGTTTTACCTTCCAGTACCAGTTATGTGTGGAAGGCGAGCTTGGCTCTCGCTCTGAGCGATCATGCCGATAATCATTAGATGACAAAAGTAATGAGTCACATTATGATCAACAAAGGAGAATGGAGCTTATATGGCTTTGCAGGCTCACATTAAAAAAATAGACAGTCAGCTTTCCACAAATGCCAGAGCTATACATTGAGAGGAATGACAACTGCACAATAAAACTGCAGCCTTTACTTGCAGTTGTCATAGTTCAGCAGACACCAGCCATCGCCGCTGACAGACCAGCTGGGTAGCTTGGGAGGCCTTCCATTCTGCACTGTGAGGTACAGTAAATTATCCAGCACGGTAGAGCAACATCTGTTTCTGTGCTTGTGCCGAACAAACAAGGCAATTTAAAGCATACCAAGGGATAACCAAGCAGCAAATGAACATGACCCTCATTTTTTTCCCCCCTTCTTACACACAGGAGATGCTAAACTTCACTGTGCAAGTGCTACATAAAGAAGCCAGGCTGTTGTTTGATAAGGTGTTGTCAGAGAGATTTTACATCTTTTCTAGAGAGAGAAGGAGGGGGGAAGACAGAGATATATCTCATAGTATTGTTATTCTTAGAATCCTCCCACTTCTCTCTTCATTTCTCTTATACTAAAGCTAGCACTCAGCTTCCAATTCATTCTAGACTTTTTTTTTTAAAAAACTGTTTCAATATACTTATAAATATTCAGTCTTTAAACCCTAATTTGCTATACTTAGTTCACATGCCTTCAAGCATTTGTCTTCCAATTTCCACTGAATAAATGCGTACTAATGAGAAATAGAGCAAGCTGCTGAGGCAAAGCTGGGTGACTTGAGCCTGGCCTGCCACCAGCTTGTGATAGGCAGGCAAATTGAGTTAAAATGAAAAGTCTTGTCAGCTGAAATACAACATGGTAGCCAAACAGCAAGCTGTCAATCATCCAGCCAAAACAAGGGACTGCAGGTAATAAAAGGTCATTGCGAATCATAAGTGCATTTGGCTTTCGTAGGCAAGTTAATTTTAATTAAACATGATCTCTATCTGTAAATGTTTTATAAAACTTATTGTGCAGTAATGGATTGTTAATTTTACACTAACACAGAGCAGGTAATAGGGTGCAATAATTATTAGAGTGTATTGTAGGAAAATAGCTATTGAGTATGCAAATATTTGGGGGGGTCATTTACCCACGGGCATCACGGTGTGCCAACACAAACGATAATCTGAAACAAGTACATTTGCATCTTACCCAGAACTAAATGTACTGCCCAGCCCATTCCAGAAAAATATATTTATTCCTTTTAATTCAACCACTGATTTTAATGCTTAGCATTTGTGTTACGACTACACACTCTGTATTAGCTCCTTTTGGGTCCCTACCCTTTCTTGTGTACAAAACAATTTTTCAAGCTGTGCTCTTTTTGCAGGAATATCTGGGATTCAGCAATGACCTGGGGCAAGAATACTTCACCATATAAATGAATGGACTAATATTAAATAAACGAACTGACTAAACATGCCTAGCATTAAACATGCACTAAGTACATCTCTGCGTTATCCTTGGCATTTCCATTATAACCAGTTTAACTGACAGACCATTTTCATGTGTCCTTTACCATATTAGAGCTCTGTTGTGAGCCATAATATCTAATAATGTGTGTTACTCTGTGCACACAAATACATTTGGATTTTGGGATTGTATTGTGTTATGCAGACAATACAAAGGGTGCTGCCCCAGAAATGCCATCAGAAGAAGATGACCCTATCAGGGCCAAAATTTGCTAGTTTGATTTTGGGTTGAGTGTGTTCTGCATTTTGGTTTAGTTTGTTTGGCTGGTTTTTGGGTGGGTTTTTTTTTTAATAAAATAATCATGTACCTGAGCTTAGAATTTAGGAGTAAATCAGGCCATGTTGTTCCCTAGACCCAACAATCTGACTATGATAACAATGCTCTTCCAGAGAAAGACTTTTAGCAATTTGTGCTTCTTCTCCATATAGCATGAGGGTTCAAAAAGACTCTTGTTATAGTAGACCAAAAAGAGGACGGAGAATCAGAGCACTTAAAACAGGAGAATGAGATGACAAGGTGATGAACATGCAAGCATCCCACCTGGTCTGCCTCATCTGAGAGCAGGGACACAATCCCAGTTTCCTACGCTCTGGGTTGGCACAGAGGGAACGGAAAGAGGAAAAGCTCAGTCTTGGAGGTTTGGGGTCAGTGGCCTTCCTGCAAGAAGTGCAATTTGGGACCTTTGTCCCTCGGACACATTTATTAACAAAACATCCCTTTCCCTTTCCACCGAAGCATGACTCTAATTCTCTTATGGTACAGATTTTTTCTATATTATTATTTTATGGGACAGTATCCAGCCCTTTATGACTTAAGTGCCAGAAGAATTGAAGTCTAGCTTCTGTTCATATCACATTATGTTTAACATGATTATGAAATTTAACAAAAGTGTTACAAGAATGCTACAAAGTAGGATGTGGCACTTCCCTCTCAACACACAAATCAAATGCTACCAAGGTACTTCAAGATTTCAAGAAGCAGAGGAATGACACAGTTAATTTTTTTAAACTGTTCATACTGTTTTGCACCAGATGGTTTTAGTGAACTACATGGTTTTATGTTCCTTATTGCTACACTTTTGGGGAGCCTTATTTTTCCCCTTTTTTTTCCATTGGCCATTCCCATCTCAGTCTATAAATATAAACTAAGTTCTCTTTTGATCTTCTTGATGCTTGGTAACTTATTTATTGTTGTATGCTAGCTCTGATGTGAAGTAGTTTTACTTGTGCTCCTTAGAAGTCCATTAAATGCTTAGAAAGTCATGTTACTCACCAGAATTGTCATGTAACACCTCCTCTACTTCAAAAACATTCTCCATTGGTTAGAGATAAATCTGCATCAAAACAGCCATGACTCTGGATGTAACCAACTTTGTAGACTACGATATGTAAGATTAATATTAATGCTCTAACAAAAAGGAAATGGATTCATATTTGTACTAATCAAATCAAGGTTGCACACGGATTCTCGAAATGTGCCACATTGGATGATCTTGGAGAATGGCAGCTATTACAAGGATCCAAACCAAGCACAGAATGCACTGCTCCACCATCATCCCAAACACAGCTTTGTTTGAGAGTAGAGCATCAGTTCAGGTCATGAGCTACCAAGACCTATGGACAGGAACTTGTTTTGAATATGGGATTGGTTTTGATATTTAAAGACAGTGGATTATTGAACCTTCAATCTTTTGTTCAGCTGTTGTCTGCCCTTGTAACACCACTTGTGGAGATTCACAGATGATTAAGTTAGGTACCTACCTGCTACGCCATCTTTCATCCCTTGGGCTATTTTCACCATTTCTCTTGCCAGTGTCCATGCACTACCAAATGAAGTGAAACCAAGAGCTGATGCTCTGAAGGTCTATACAGCTCCCGATTCAAACAAATTCCAATGACCACTGGCAAGGGTCTCCCTCTGAACCCTAGATCCAGAACCAGAAGATGTGTAGCTCCCTTAAAGCTCCCTCTTTTGAATAAAGTACTAAAAACACCGTTTCTCCTCTGCAAATTTTATCTTCTTATATTTCATTTGGAGTCATTGCCCAACAGAAGCCTGCTTTAGAAGCCTTTTTTGTTTTGTTAAAGAGAGAAAGAAAGAAATTTCTTGCAGATAAAATACATTTGGAGTTTAAATATACAATCCCACTTTAATTTCAGAAAAGGGTCTTTCTTGGCAGTACCATACAGAAGTATTTGAAATGCATTAACACTTCGGCAGATGCTCAGAATCAAACAACTTAATAGGCATCAACTTTTTTTCAAATAATTGCAAAGCTTCGATTTAGCCTTTTGCATACCTTGCATAGTTAATTACCTAGGCTTTAATGTTTACATGCAATGAGAGTATCTACAGCTATAAACTACATAATTTATAATTGATGTAAATGGGTGTTATTATGTCAATTAGGCAGCTGTGTCCTCCACCTTCTCAGTAAACAGAAATGAGTGATAAACCGAGTTTGCCGGGAGAGCCACTCTCCTCTTCCTAACAGATAAAAATAAATTACCTAGGTAGACCAGGTTGTCCAATTGTTCTCTGGTGAGGTGGATGTTATATGTGGGCCCTCTCTTTTGACCTGTTGACTGCAGCAAATGGTCAATCTCGTCACGCACCGCTGCAAGAGCTTCTGGGTGCCGCAGAAGATAATACATGGCCCAGAATGTAGCTGGAATCGTGTTTCCCACAGAGGCCCACAGGAAGGCAAAATGATGTGCTGGGAGAAAATAAGTGAAAAGGAAGATTAATAGCGTTTATTACACTGATTAGATTTGCAGTGTGCTAATTAAAAGATGTTAGGACACAGACCCAGCCAAGGATCAGTGAATGCTAATGAGGACCAATAGGCTTCTGAAGTCTAATTTTCTGCTTAATGAGAATAGTTTGAAATGTAATGTCGGGGGGGTGGGGGGAATAAGGGGAGGAAATGCAGCTCAGTTATAATCTTTCTCATTATCACCATTAAGTATCTTGTTTTACCACCTCAGCACAAAAAAAAAAATCAATTATCATAGAGGGTTGTTTCAGAGTAAAACATTTTATCATTAGCCAATTAGAAAGAACATAAAAAAATTTCAAGGTCGCCATTTTGCCTTTTTATTTCAAAGGTCTATAGTAAATTATTTTATTTTAGACAAGCAATCATTCATAAGTTTCCTACCTGCTTTGTCATAATCTCCAAGCAGCTCATATTTCTCAAATATATCTTGTCTGGCTTGGACCACTTTTGACCCTCCCAGCCATTTTGTCATGTTCTGAAGTAAAAAATGATGTATAAGCTCCTTCCGAACCTTCTTGGTAGCTCCTAGCAACTCAATTGGTATGTTTGCAGCTAAATAGGGAAAGCTGGCATCAAACTTGATAAATTTGTCTCTGATTTCACTAATAACTTTGTGGCCATCTGCAGCAGGAACTCTTCCATATAGTGTTACAAAACTGGCTTCAAACATTACAGAGCAGCAGAATTTGTACATTTTTTCTGTTTCCCAATCTGTTGCTTGTGAGCATTTCCATTCAAATATATCCTGGAGATTTTTCATCATGTGGTCAGAAATGATATCCAAAGGCTTGCCTTGTAGATACTGGTAGATTCTGTGCAGGTTTTCCTTGAGTTCAGGGAATTTTCCTTTTGACAAGGCTGGGTAGTCAAAAGTTTTGGATGCCATTTTATTTGCAAATTCATGAAATTCAAGTTGCTTGCTATTTCGGATGACATAGACATATTGAAATGGGTCCATGATAAAGGTAATATATCTACCTGAATAGAAGAACAGAAAATAATTAGAGACAAGTGCACTTTTATAATCTGGTGACACTTCCAGAAGCAATAACTAAAAGTAAGCTAAAGCCTGTGAAAAAATCATGCAGGAAAAAAAAAAAAACAAAACCAAAAAAAACCCCCAAAGCAAAGATATGTGAATAAATCTGCAAAGAAAAAGAAATTATGTAACAAATATTATTTAGATTGTCTTTGTCAGGATGCAGATTCCACCAGTGTGCAATCCACACTTTGCAGGCTCTTCAAAAATCCTTGTGAAGCCATTTTCATGTAGACAGATCTACTGTTTGTGCCAACAGTTGTGTGTGATCTCTTCAAATGTGGTGCTCTGAAATAAATAATTTTCTACTCAGGTCTAATTCATGAGAATACAGTGTGGAGTCATAGCAACATTTGGAAACTGTAGGTTTTCACTAGCAGAAAGCAAAAACCACACACATTTCACCTGCACAGAGGAAAGTGAATGACAGGGGCTGGAGTGGAAAACATGCCACCTAGGCAGCTTTTTCCAAGCAGATGACAGAGGAACTCATAATCTGCCAGCTACAGCTTTAACTGCACGCTGCAAACCCCCAACATTTTAAGTTTTTCTCACATCTGGCTCTTTTTCCCTGAAGCTTTTCTAACTCTCTGTTAAGAATGTGCTTAGTATCCATAACATGACTACCTTAGTTTATGAATGTGAAGTCACAGCCTGTGATGTAGCAGGCACCATTTTTAGGACAGGCTCCACTGTGGGACACACACTGTCCCAGTGCTAGGATCCATTGTGTCAGAGTGCACCACCAACTTCCTACCCTTGCCAGGGTCCTTAATGAGGTGACACAGGGATACCTTCAGCTCCTTGTACAGAGGGATAGGATTGCATCAAGTTAAATGCTTTTTCAAATTGTCCCTGCTAAAGAAGTCCTGAAATTTCTCCCCAAACTTCAAGACAACTGCTGCAAAAAAGCATTTGGAGGAACTACCATGAATCAAAATGCTAACACTCCCAAAGCTCAATTAAATCTTAGCTCTTTATAGATGGTTCTAAATTTAGAGTTCCTGATTCTTACCTTGAATGAAGAGGTGCATCAGGGAAAAAGGGTGCCTATTAAAATGTACACTTTCCCTGTGAAATATCCCAGTCGCAAACTCAGGGAAAGAGCAAAGCTTCCAGCACTTACAGTCTAATTCTGTCTCACTAAAGGGACAAATCTCCTTTGATTTTAATGGGAACACTACATGCTTAACTGCGGACCAAATTTGGCTCTGTGACAGATGTCCAGAGATAAAGTAGTCACTACCACTAAAAATGTCAAGTATCCATGGTTACCATATAATGATATCTGAATTATCATAGTTATTTCATATTCTGATTTGTATACACACACAGTGCCCTATGGTATCTGGGTACACTCTGGACTTCCTCTGCAATTACCAGCTGCTATAATTCCGCTCCCAATTACATCAACTGCAATCCCAGTGAACTAGTAAGGAAATGTAAAGCACATATCAAGACAGAATTTGAACCCTTTTTCTTTTTTGTCAATAGTGTGTGAACATTTTTAAGATACTCATGGATTTTGTTTTACTGTAACATAATCAACCATAGCCGTAAATTTAATTTTAAAGTATACTGAGAAACCAGCATGAAAGAGAGATCCTGAATTCTCAGTCCCCTTTTTAGACCTTCTATGACTACAGAGGCTAACAGGAATTTTTAGTCTTGACTTGACTTTAGTCTTGCAGCATCTTTGTTAAGAGTCCTAGAATTACCCTCTCTTTCCAGCTCTCACCTATTTCACGCTCTTTATTGAGGCTACCATCTTTGTGATCAAAGCTTGGAAAGAATGTCCAGTGGAGCAATTTTTAATAAATAGATTTGGAGTGTTATTAACCCTAAAGATGAAAGCTGGCTTCTTAACTTTGCATTTACAGGGTAAACAATTTAAGTTAAGATTTTTAATTAATATTAATTTAAACCATCTGTCCACCATCTGCTTATTTCTGATGCAAAATATGAGTTTCTTTGTGATCTTTAATCAGACACTTAGCAAACGCACATCATTTCTTATCATTTTTAAAGTAAGAAAATGATTTTCAGCAAATGAGTTTTCAGACAAACAATTTTAGTAATAATTTTAAATCAAAACTAACTCACCACTAGCACATACTTTGAAAAAAAAGTCCCTGAGAAAAAGAATATTACAGATCCTGATTTTATTATTCTCATCAGGTTCCTGGTAGCAAAAAGTAAGTATGTAACAAAATATAATTCATTTTGTAGAATCAATTCAGGCTCCAGACCACATCACTGTAAGTCAACAACATATATAAACACATAAACCAAAATATTTCTTGTTGCTACATTTTGAAAGGGTCTAGATAATCAGAAAAGTGGAACCCCCCTATAACAAAGGCAGCTTGTTTATGTATGCCATCGAGAATCTAATTTTAGATCTCTTAATTAGAAAAGTACTAAAACCTAGGGCTAATTATTGGCAGTTAGAAAGTTGTGAGAGTGGGTCTGGGAGCCTTTAACAATTACAGTCATCCTTGCACACAGATGCCCTACATGGCTACACTGCTTACCCCAGCCTCATCCATACAGGAACAGAATGCTAATTACAAAATTGTGCCCCAACACCTCCTCTACACCCTGAACAGCAAACATCCGAAGTGGAACAAACTTTCTCACCTCAAGTTATGATTTTAAATTTTTTAAGTGTCAATATGGTCCTTAGTTTTGCTTTTAAAATCCTATCCTTGTACCCAGTGAGGTTTCTTCCCACTGATTGTCCCTGGTGGTGTCAGAGACAAATAAATTAAAACCTTTCCTAATGTTTTCAGTTATTATTTGGTATTTCAAAATGCAGCTTCCCCCTCTACTCCCATATCTCTCCACTGCAGCTAATGCCAAGACAATCTTTGGGAAGTAACCTTTTCTGAAATCAATTCAAAATCTTGATACTCATGAGTTTCTATCAGAGTACTAAAAAAGGTAATGCCAAATCAGCCAAAAATGAAGGCACACTACTATTTCCACAAATCATGTAGCCTTAAATATTGAAGATATTCATATAGAAACCACTAGAGAATAAGCCTTTCCCCGTTAGTTTGTAAAAAACCCCTTCAACACCAAAAACTAAGTAGGCATGTACATACAGAAATGTCATACTCCAATTCACAACAGTTTAAGTCACTGAGCTATTTTATTTAATACAGTAAAAACAAGTCAAAACAAGAGATGTATCCTTCTTTCTGCAAAAAGCCCTCTGATTTTTTTATTTTTAATGGCTACAGAGAATTCATACTTCACTATCCAGTTCTTCAGTCTGCATTACACCCATGCTGCAAATAGCCTGGTTATCTCCATTTAGTTTCTACGATCTCCTAGAAATAGAAGATTGATGTGGAAAATATGAAAATTGTCAACATTGGTAAATCTGAGCACAGAAGCCAGTATTTGTATGATAGTTAAGAAATTACTCTAATAATGCATTCTGGACCTTTTTAATGCTAATGATGAAAGACAAGCATTTCAGATGGCATCTAATGATGGATGTTATTTCAATAATGCTTGGAGCAGGCTACAGCCTGGTAAGGAGTTAATGAAAATTACCTTTTGCCTATGAGAGAAAAATGTGATATGCTACTGTAGGTGTATCACACTTTAAAGAAAAGAATGACTTAGCAGCAGTATTCAAAACGGCAAAGGTGCTTAGTCAAAACCGCAAAAATTATTTTATTAAAGGTGAGTTAGTCTCAGAGAGAATGTTGCAGGGTTCGTTACCACTTCTATGAACTTGAGAGGAAAAGGACACAAAGTTTAATCCCGAGAAACAATGACAAAACTGTTTCAAGCTCTTTAAGTTCTTACCTAGCCGTCTGCCTATGCTGCTGACCCTTAGCAAGCAGAGGGGCTTGGGAAGTATGATCATCTCAGTGCCACAGACTCTCTCTCTCTCTTCCCCCTCCTTATTATTTCCTTTTCTGATATTTTCTTTTTTTTTTTTTCCCCCAAGACTATCGCATTTACGTAATCGTCCTCTTATTAGGGAGATTCTGCTGAACTGCTGACAATGATGTACAGTGGTGCTGCGCTGGCATGACGTTTGGGGAAAACGATTCTGCTGCACCACCACACAAAACCAATTAGAGAACTATTTTCTGCGACAGGTCAGGAATTTACATTGTTTCTCATAGAAAGATGTGCTTTTTAATTTCTTTATTAAGATGACATCCATGTCCCTTGCGACTTTTAGGGATGACAATCATTTGCTCATCACATGGGAAAGTACAATCAGCAAAATCGCATTACCAGTACAGGGCAACGCCAGAAACTCAAGCATCGTTCCGCATTTTCCAAATGAACTAGTTTGAGAACCAATAATTATAAAAATATATATTGATAGAATTTTTTGACAGGACCTTTAGACATCCACCAGGGGGGTAAAGTAATGATAGTCCACATACAGCTGGCTACGCTATGTTTGCCGAGCACAGAAACATCATCTTTGTCAAATCAGTAAGACAGAGAGAAATCCTGTATGCCTTCGGATCAGGACACGAGAGGAGACACTAACTAGCTTAGGTTTCCTCCTTGACTTGAGGATGATAAACTATTTCTCTTTAGTGAAGTCCTGATGGTCAGCACTTTTATACAGAAAAAGAGAACTTAAAGTGGTGTCTCTGTTATGATGAATTCACAAAATCAAACATTTCCCTGCACAAGACTGGAATGATATCCAGAACTAACTCCATTTACCTCAGTCTTTATCAAGGGATGCTTGGCTCAAAACACTTGAACATAGGGGATTATCTGAGATGGAATTTGGTTTATCCTGGAAATAGAAATTTCTGAAACTAAATTACGCTCATAATTGGTTAAACACAAACTTCTAAACATAGTCTTTCATAAAATAATAAAGAGGCAAAGGAAATAAATATTTGATTAAACACTTTTAAGATTCTGAAGTATGACTGTATCCGGTTTAATGAACATACTAGTGTCTGAATTATAGCCATTAATTGGTATTTGTAAGAAGCCAAAACTGTATTATAATGTGAATTCAAATTAACAATAAAAAAGACTGTATTTCAACAAGAGTTGATGTTGTACTGTGCCAAACTCAGTTTCAAGTTGCAAAGGATCTGATTATACCAGTTTTCAAAAAAAGAATCCTGAATGAAATTTTAGATAATACGTATTTAATACAATAAAAATTCTCTTCCAAAGGAACAAAAGGACAGATTTTTTAAAAGGAGGAAAATGTTTATTAATTAAACACACAGCTTGCAATTAAATTAATTGACTTTTTTTTAAAAAAATATTTTCATTCCAAAATATTGCTTCTATGGAAATATAAACCTAATGCTACTACCCTAGGAAAAAAAAAAGCAAAGTTTATACTTCACATTGAATATTTTTGTTTCAATCTCTCTAAAACTACAGGAATAACTAAAAATTATATATATAGACTGAAGCTGATAATTTGAACAAGGATATCGGCATGTAAAGGTGCAGAAGATGATTATAACCAGCTATATTAATAAGAGCTTGCCTTTCTGAACACAAGAAAATACTGAATTTTATATTGACTTTAGTAAAAAGTAGATCTCTACAGATAGATGTAAATCTATATATTTAACTTTCATTCAGGATTTTAGTTTTATTCTATGTTCTTCTTCCACAGCTAAGTGCCTATGTGAAATCACTCAAATGTTTGTATTCAATCTGGCTTAGTAATACAGTTATAAATACAGGAAACAGCAAGGTTATATCATACTTTATTATATTGTTATTTTCAGCAAGCATGATCAGAGTAAGAGGCTGGCAACGGGAAGTTGCTGTGTTCCAGTCCCGATTGTATCACTGAGTCAATGTGTCATTCATTCCCTTGTGTTCCTGTCAACCAGTTGTAAAATGTGTGAGAACAAATTCTGCACTTTTTTTCTTAAGTGTTTTCTAAATTTAATCTGATATTTTTCTGTGCAGTGTCAAGATGATGTTAGTTCTCCTTTCTTTAGGAAAATACCCACCAATACATAATTTAATGTGCTGGCAAAATCTATGTTCATACAGTACATACCTACAAAATCTGTCAAAATACATATATACTTAGAGATGTAAATAAATCCACACATTGATAGTGATATTTTATCGATAACTATTATGCTTACAATATATGCAAATTTGAGGGATTTTTATGGGTCTATGCTAGAGAAAAGTGTTTTGGGTTAAGGAAGATTCTAAACTAAATATTTGGATTAGTATTTAACTTCACTGATGGAAAAAAATCAAGATACATACTAAAATATTTCTCACCAGCAATATGTACAGTGAAAATATCTCCAAATTTCTTTTGCTGATCCAGTAAGAATTTGTAAGCATCTTTTCTAAATATCAGAGCTTTCCCAAGGTAAGGAATCCAGCCATTTATTAGTGGGGGCTCTCCAGTCTTTCTGTTAAAAGCAGAAAAAAAATAAACAGGAGTTAACTTTGGCATAAGAGCAACTCATCTTTATATCTATTTATATATTACACTTAGACCCACCATTTACATCTATAATTCCTGCAATGTATAATATGTTGTACAGAAAGTTCTTCAGATATGATGGCAGGTTAAATCTAATCACACCTCTGAGCACTGAAGGCTCCATGTGGTGATTAGGAAAAATAAGTGAGAGAAATTGAGACGCATTTAACTACAGGTTGTCCACTTATTACCATCAAGTTATGAACACAGAAAAATGACATTCAGTAGAAAAGCTCCCAGCAAAGAGTCATCTCATTTTCAATATTTGGTGTGTCAGAGGAAGATGTATTGGAAGGCAATTATGACAGATTTAGGTAAATAGGACGCCGACACACCGCACAAAACAAGTATCCTTACAGATAACATTTTAGTAATTTCAGCTTACTAGCACAGAGAACAGCCATTCTAACTAAATAACTTTAAAATACAGGATAATAATACAGGCTGAACATTAACGTAAAAAAATCTTAGTCTCTTCATATTTATAGTCTAACATAGAAATGTATCTGGACAGTTTAAGAAGAACGTACAGGTATTGATGTTTGCATCCCAGTTCAAAAAAGCAGCCATGGTGCATTAGTTATCTTTACAGAATAGTATAAAATACGTTTTAAGAATCTACTAAGTTACATTTTTCTTTAAAAGGAAAAAAGGTTCCCACACTGTTCTACTCCTGACTGCAAGTAAATATCTTTCCTTCATGCTGGTCTTTAGTTGCCTGAATCTGATTTACAACAAAGAAACATAAAGCGTGCTTGTTCTGGAAGGGATTAAAACAAATATTCACAAACAACTCTGCTGCTACATCCCATCTGTGAAGGTGACTTATACTACATGCAGAACAACCCATTCTGATTAAACGCAAGATATTTACTAGCTTGGATCTAATCAAAGATCAAGGGATCACAAGCTTTACTACTATCATACACAGCATGGATTTTTATGTAGCTGGATTAACCCTATCATAGTCACATTCCCCCTTGAACTGCTGTAAGACAAAAAAAAAAAATTAAAATAACCATGGTATGCTGTATTTACTTTTAATTTTACTTTCATAATTAAAACTTTTTGGGCAGAAAAATAAAAGCCAGAGATTTGCCCACTTACTTAAAACAAGTTATTATAAATTTAATTTACAGATAAACAGATGTGGCTAAACCAAGCTGCATATTTTGATCTCTGTTTCACTGACTACTAACTTCAAATTTAAGTTTCCAAGAATATCCTTTGTCCTCTGGAAAACCAATACATCTTCTTATCTGACAGTCTTACAGTCAACAGTTTGCTGTGCCTTTTTCATTTCCTTAAGTTTTGTGGCTTTGGCATTTTGTTTGGTTGTTTTGTAGTGTGTTTTTTATATTGAGGAGAAGGTGAAGCTCCTTTTTCTTCAATACCTCCCAGAAACCACTGCCTTAATCATCCCCTTGTGGTCAAATAACAACATTATTTACTCAAATGGTCCAGAAAACTTTGCAATGTTTAATTTTGTATTAAGTGAATAAAAGCAAAGAACCAATCTGAGATTACATGAGAGGGATCACTAGCCCTGGAAGCATAGCAGCCAACTTGATACCCTCAATTATCCCTTCCAAGCCTGTAAAGAATCTGGACGATTTATCCATTTTTTTCCTCTCAGACTATTAAGTCCTGAGAGTGTCCGCCTTTCACTTCCCTGGCTGGAGACTATGTCCTGTAAGTAGCATCCTGACAAATATTTAGATAGGCTTTTTGTCATCTTCTAATTGAATGCATCTAATTTCACCCTCCATGTTCTGTCATTCGGTCAGAAGCTGTATTCTTCACGACCTCTCCGCCGGGTAAAAAGAAGGCAGCTCAGAAATCCAGGGGAAAATTAACTTAATGCTCCAAGTCTTCGGGATCACATCAGGGAGACATTTTGCTATTGCAAAGACGTGAGGGTCATCGTTCACTTCAGACATGTTTAGCTCAGCAGCAATAAGCTTAACACTGTTAAACACTGTGTCAAAGCTACGTGGCTTTCAGAGAAAAATATAACACCAGTTCAACTTACGACCCACAGCAGACTGATAACAGAAATGTGTCTTCATTTCTAGCTTTCTTTCTCTTTGGGAGATGGAGGTCATCTCCACGCCTTATCAATGTCTGCTAACACACAGCACAGAAAAGAGCGGCCGCTCGTATTTCAGTGCCTCCCCAAATCCAGCGCCTTTCTGCACAAACCTTCAGGCAGAGCACTGCAGCCAACCCCATTTCCTGAGGGACTCTCACCTGCATCCTGGGTATCTCCAGAAGTCTTCATCAACTTTGGATGCTAAACAGAACCATTAACAAAACCCACAGAAACTTTTACTGCTTAATTAATTTGCTCATGAACTTTAACTCTGGACTCACGCTTCACAGAAGTTGTAAAATTTGATAATTAGGGAAAATATTACAAGCATTAGAGTTACATTTTACTCATGACAAATATTTTGTTGTACCAAATGCAAAATATAGCTAAGATATATAATAGAGCACTATGAAGCGCTTTGATGGAAATTTAGGACTGCAACTTTTTAATTTAAGCATTAAGAATGTCTTAGAGATTACATTTTATTCAGGTCTAGTCTAACTGCTTAAATTCTAATTCATTTAACAAACCTCACTATATTCCTAGGTCTTTTCACTCCACATATTGGGCTGGTTTTGCTTATATAGAGGAATATCTTTACTTGTCTGAGAAGCCTCTGTGAAGTCAGTAAGACTTAACAAACAAATTTCTCACATATGTGAGTGAATTTTACAAATAAAGCATCAGCAACATGTCCAATGCAATCTATAAGTAGACGGATCAGTTACAAAGTGGAGGGAGAGCAACACAGTTGTATCATCCATCATTGTTAAATGGATAATTTCAAATGGCATTATGCAAAAATCAGCTGGCTACAAATACAACCCATAAATAGAGCGAACAGATTTTGATAACTAATTTTTTGTTGCTTTCACAGAGAAAAGATACTTTCTTGTTAGCAAGTAATGGAGTTGCAACATCTACTACACCAAAAAAGCAAAGTTTTGGAGTTTGTTTACAGTTTCCTTATAGGAATATTTTTCAGCTCACCTAAAACACAGAAGGCAGTAACTCAGGTGTGATTATTTAGCTACTGAGGTAAGGCAATACTAAAAAATGTGGATGCTGTATCTATGTCTCACTTATGCCAAGCAGCAGTGATGCAATAAAGCAGGAGAAAAAGGAGCTTCAACATAAGTATTTTGGAAAATGTTCAATAAAAAAAATTAATTCAATATCTCTAAACATTACGATTTTATATAGTGAAAGGGAATTATCTTGGAAATCCCAGTAAAGTCTTTTGTAAAGGTCTCTGAACACGACATCTTCTTTTTTTTTTTTTAGTTATAAAGAAAATACCCTAAAGATTCACAAGAAAACAGACTTTCCCAACGTGATCTCTCACAGAAATTTTATTGCTTTATAAAAGCACACAAGACTATTCTTTTCTTGGCTACACCATTTCAACATCACTGCAGTGTGAGGCATTGAACCCGTGTAAATGAGAGGAGAATCTTTCTCATCTCACTGGTTATTTGTATTCCAAAGGAGCAGATGCCTTTCAAATTATGCAAAAACCCACAGCGCATCTTGTACTATAGCAGATGAACAGGTTAATTTTTCTTTTTGCACATAATAAATCATAAGTGCTTTAACACCCATAGTCGCATTTCATGAACATAAACCTTCTGTTTAATAATGTCTGTTTACAACTAGAATCAGACATACAGTAATCTTTTGCCTGGGATAAACATTAATCCAGATCTGTCTAGAAAAATTATACAATTCATTACCATAAGTAATCTCTATTGTGCCCCATGCTTAACCTTCATCTTTTTTTCCTGTCCTATAATCTTGCAAACCCACTGGTGCTGTATGATTGGCATCTGGTGTTAAGGCAGCCCTCACTGCACACAGTGCAGCTGAAGCAGCCCGACAGGAACACGTCACTCTGCAGGGTAACGCCGGTTCAGCTGACCGCTTTTCACAACAACTTCCACCAAAGGCGGAGAAAACCCACCAGCCCAGGAGAAAAAGGTCTAACAATAGTATAAAATGACCCCTCTTTTAACACAGAGGAGTCATTTTCACTTTCCAAACCTCGCTACCATTCACAAAAGTTTAAGTCCGTGCTCTGAATTTTCCATAGTATCTTTGGACAAACCATCATAATACCATGTCCAAGCTGGAACACACCATGTCAGGGGACTTTAAGGAATGGAAATGGATTGGTACAGAGTAGAACAAAAGCTATTATGAACATGTCAAAGCAGTTAGAGATTATTCACAGGCTCAATCACAATATTTAAGCAACAAGACATGACAGACAGTGTCTTTCCAGGGGCTTATGAACACTCTAACTGTGAGGAAAAGAATGAGGCCAAAGGCTTCAACCCCAAGAAAGGTAATCCCCAGAAATGTGGTGTCTGGAATGTCTTCTTGTATTATGAGAGAGAGAACACAGGAAACTTAGGACAGGAGGAAGCCAGTGAGTCTTTCTATTTTTTTTTTTAATTTAGCAATTTTCCCCTAGACCTACTTATAGGTGTTCTACATCTATGAGGACAGAAAATAAATTTTTCTTACAAATATTTGGCCACAATGCAATTTTTGACATTTATAAAATTATGCATGTCTTAAAACCTCACCCAAATTATCTCACTCAGTGATCTCCTGGAACTCTAAATCTTCCAGGTTAAGTACATACAGTACGAAAAAGCATTCCCTGCAGAACAAGCCAGATGAGAGTTTTAGCAATATACAATCTTTTACCCTTGGATTCTCAGCTTCCAGACTTCCTGTGGAGGTAAAGGCATTGCTCCTATCTGGTCACTGCTTTCAGGTTTGTGGGGAGTAAATGGATGCATCACCTTGAGAGAGACACGGGTTGACTC